AGGTGCCACCTCCCCCATCCCCCAGGTGCCACCCCCGTGTCCCCAAGGTGCCACCACAGGTGTCCCTACATGAGCGCTGGGGCGTGGTGATCTGGACGTTGGTGGTCAGGCTCAGGCCGGCGTCCGCGAAGACGCCGATGTTGTCCCTGCCACTGCCCGGAGTGCAGCCGATGTCACTTCTCTCCACCGTGTCCCACACCTGAGCCCACAGGGGACAGCTGTGACCGCCACTGTCACCACCCAGGGACAGCGGGGACAGCTGTGACCGCCACTGTCACCACCCAGGGACAGCGGGGACAGCTGTGACCGCCACCGTCACCACCCAGGGACAGCAGGACAGCTGTGATGGCCACTGTCACCATCCAAGGACAGTGGGGACAGCTGTGACAGCCACTGTCACCACCCAAGGACAGTGGGGACAGCTGTGACAGCCACTGCCACCACTCAGGGATGATGGGGACAGCTGTGATGGCCATTGCCACCACCCAGGGACAGTGGGGACAGCTGTGACAGTCACTGTCACCACCCAGGGACAGTGGGGACAGCTGTGACAGCCACTGTCACCACTCAGGAATGATGAGGACAGCTGTGATGGCCATTGCCACCACCCAAGGACAGTGGGGACAGCTGTGACAGCCACTGCCACCACCCAGGGACAGCAGGACAACTGTGATGGCCACCACCAGGGGACAGGGACAATTGTAATGGCCACCACCCCAGGGGACAGCAGGGACAGGGACAACCACGATGGCCACAACTCCAGGGGACAAGGACAACTATGATGGCCACCATCAGGGGACAGCAGGGACAGTGGGGACAGGGACAACCATGATGGCCACCACCCCAGGGGACAAGGACAACCACGACGGCCACCACCACCAGGGAGAACAACCACAACAACCACCCCCCAGAGGATTCTGGGGACAACCACGGTGGCCACACGGCCACCTCGCGGGGACATGGAGGACAGGGCCACCCACCCGGCTCTGGGTGAGCTTGTTCTTCTTGCTGAGGACGAAGACTCCCTTGTCCACGGCCACCAGCCCCACGAAGGCCTTGTGGTCGCCCTCGATGCGCAGCCTCATCGGCGTCCCCGGCTCGTGGACGCGGTTGTCACCTTCTGTCGCCCCCTTCACCACCAGCTGTCACAGGCACGGGGTGGGGGGACGTCACCGGGATGTCCCCAAAAGTCACCTTTGTCCCCCCCCCCAACAAATGAGTGGGACACCAAGTTTGGACCTCCAGGGTTTGGTGGCTGGGATGTCACCAGGGCCACCAGGGCCACCAGGAGATGTCCAAAACCACCCAAAGTGACACCAAATCCTCGCCAGGGGACACCCGGGTCCCTCAA